GAGTAATCTCACATCCGGGCAGATAGATTTTGTTCTGTTCTGTGAATTCATAACAGACGACAGTCATCTTTGTTTCTTTTCCTTTCCTCTTCTTTTTTTTTCTAGCTGCACACAATGTCGATTCATACTAGTGCTAACCTTAGTTCAACTATGTCTGATTCTTCTATTTTGAACAGTAGTAGAGCTCAATCTTCGTCAATATCTCTTTTATCATTAACGGACAAATCATCGAATTTTCTACGAACAACAAAACATATTTCACATTCATTGATCTTTCGTGGAATGATCGGTTTTCAGATCATGGCCTACGGTTCCTATTCGGTTTTAGTTCATCTTTGCGAAAAAAATGGCCGAATCATGTTTTCATCATCAACAATGAATTTCATGGTTGAATTTTTGAAATTAATCTTTTCTTTAAATGCTCTTATACTTCTAAAACAATCAACATTCGATGAGAATTCATTGATTTCAGTGATGAAAAAATCGATCCCATATTCAATACCTGCTATTCTTTATTTCATCAACAACAATCTCGCTGTACATATGCAACTTTACATGGATCCGACCTCGTATCAAATTCTGTCAAATTTTAAGATTTTTACCACTGCTCTACTTTACCGTTTAGTCATTAAACAAATCCTATCCAAACGACAATGGTTTGCATTGACATTACTCTTATTCGGTGGATTTATTTATAGTGTTGGTACATTGAAGAACTCATCCTTTGTTTCGAAAACTCGTGTTGACTCAAGTTTAGTCATACGAGAAATGTATATACGTCCATTAGGTATTCCAATGATAATAATCTATTGTACATTGAGTGGCCTTGCTGGTGTCTACAATGAATGGATATTAAAACGAAATTATAATGAATCACTACATTTACAAAATGTTTTTCTTTATATGTATGGTACTTTGTTCAATTCGATACCAACTTTTCGGTTATTAACAACAAATTTTCAATTCAATCATCTTTTTCATGGTTTTACATTTTATACCTGGATAATTGTTTTTACACAAGCATTAAATGGTTTATTTATGTCTGTAGTGATAAAGCATTCTTCGAATATCATTCGATTATTCGTTATCTCATTTTCTTTAATCGTAACTACTGTGCTTTCGTTTTTCATCTATCATATTAGTTTTAATATGTATTTTTTCATATCGTTCATTACTATGACTTGTGCACTTTCACTTTATTATACGAACTAACAAAACCTTTCTTTTGTTATGACCTGTCTGATATCGAATTTGAAATCTTGATTTGATAAAGTGCAAATAAAAGGGGATAAGATAGTCTACCACTGAATATTCAATCTAGTCAACAGAACTACATCAAAGACGAAGTTTACATCTCTAAGGAAATCTGTGTTACTTTATTAGAAATATATGCATTATCATCATTGATCTAGTTATACTTCAACATGGATAAGGATAAAATGGTAAATATGTCCATCATATTGTTTAGAGGGTTTTACTTTAGATAGATTATAGTCAAGTTGATTGGAAACATTAATTTCTCCAGATAAAGAGAAATTTCTTCGTTTGAAATCCATTGAAGTTCGAAGCACATGCGTTCGTATAAGAGCCAACATCAGGAAACCATAGGACATCTCCAATACTTAGCAATGGCAAATCAATTGAATGTGCAATACAATCTATTGAATCACATGTAGGACCAAAAATAACCGATTTAAATTGTTTATTGTCAGACTTTTCATTGCTCATTCTGATGTAATGTACAATGAAGATTTTATGATCGAATATGATTGCATTAAACGTTCCATAGATACCATCGTTAATGTAGTAAATATTCTCAGCACTTTCAATCAATGCTCTTTCAGATGTGTCATTTTCGTCTTTGGTTTCAGATGAACTTGCAGTCAAAGACATTTTTCGATCAAGTTGAACAACTGGTTCGTTTGATTTATAAGCAAGATTATGAATGCGTCGAGAAGTAATGCGTGTCACGAGTGTCATGCCACCTGAAGAAAAATAACGACCAGGTTCTGACATCATGGTTATACCTAGAAGGGAATGAATATGAGGTTTAGTCTAATTAATTCACTGATTTTTCAAACCTTCTGATTCTGGAAATAATTTGTCTAATGTGTGATTAATCACTTTTGCTACTTCAGGAAAACTTGGTTTATCCCAATTGTGACCTGAAAATCCACCTCCGATATCTAATACTTTGAAATTAAATTTAAATTCATCTTGTTGAGCTATATCGAATATTCGCCGTGCTTGTTTCAATGCTTCAGTATAAAGATTAGGATCGAGACATCGACTACCGACATGAAATGAACATCCCACAAGATTGATATTCAATTCGCGAGCTAATCGAAGTAAAGTTATGCATTCACGTTCATTGGCACCAAATTTTGTAGAAAAAGGACTCATTGAATGCGTATCATTCGGTTTTAAACGAATAAGGACCTGTACTTATTCGAAACGAAGAAGAATTCTATTGCAACATCAATGATTCTCAATTGACTTACTCGAGCTTCAGGCCAATGCTGCTTTAATTTATGCAATTCGTCTTCGTTGTCGACAACGGTCATTTGTACACCAGCCTTACGAAACTGTTGAATATGAGAAAACGGCTTACATGGATGAGCATAGATAATACGCGTTGCAAAATCAAAATCATCACCACAGCTTTTTCGTACTAATTCAAGTTCTTCTGCCGAAGCACAATCAAAACCTCCATTTAATTCAGCAAGAACTTTTATGATAAAACTACTCGGATTGCTTTTAACAGCATAGAATGGACGTATACGACCAAGAAAATGCATCCATTGTTGATACTGACGTGCATAATGCGAGAGGTTCACAATATAGAACGGCTCATCATTATCTGAAGGTAGTTCTTCACAAAATTTTCTGAATAAATATATAAATATTTCATACATACGCCTACATGTTTGTTAAATACTTACTTGACGATAGATGCTGTAGATTGTCCATAATCAACATGTTTAGCGCCTAATTTTTCTTCGAATAATTCCCTGAGATGATGAACAAGAAAACGACGTCGTCGTTGATCAACTTTTGTTGCTTGTTCGTCTTCATCATGACCTTGAACGTCTAGAATTTCATCAGCATCTTGTATGCTGAATTGATGAACTAAATTAGTTCGAACTGGTTGTTCACTAATATCGTCTTCATCGTGTTCATTATCATCAGCTCTACGAGAGTCACTATTACTTGTTTCTGGTTTAGTCGTTTCTTTTTGATGATGTCGATGATCAGCCATTCTCTTTTCGATATATGAAGATAAGCGAATGTAACTGAAATACAAGGTACGATGTGATAGATAGGACAGTGAGTGTATACTATACTACACTTAACTATGACTCATTTTATCTTTTATACTTAACGAACGCGCGAACGATGGTGTTTATCTACGCCCATATTCTCAATTCAAATATAGAATCGCTAAAATTGATTCATAAGCATAGATCGTAGATTTTCACGAAATATTCCAAAATATATTGACTTCTAAGTAACGGGATCTTATTAATCAGGACAGATAAATGAGTATATATATTATAAATGTACTAATATCATGAGAAATTTGTTTCCGAAAAGTGTTAGATGTAAAGTTTCGATAATCGATTCCAAAAAATTGCCAGAGTATACGCTCAAAAAAGTAGATAATAAGGAAAAGATAAAAACAGTTAAGTCTATTTAAATATATTTTAAAGAGTGCTGACGTTTCGGCATTTCACATGCTATTATCAAGACGAGACGAACGAAAACCAGTAGCTATTCTAGAAAATGACTCATATAATAGTATAAATACACCCCTTCTTTCTCTTATCGTGTAATTTCATTTTATCTTGATAATGGTCTGTAAAATACCGAAATGTCGACACTTTTTAAAATAGATAACTTCAAATAAGCTTAGTTGCTATCACATTTTCCTTATTATTATCTCCTCAATAATAACCATAACACATTCACAAAGGTAAATGTTGTTCAGACGAACGTATGGGGATAGACTGATATGAACTTCGACAGATATCTTTAAATTTGTATATGTGCAATTGATTTTCACATTCATAATGAATGGACACTTACCGATACTAAACGAAAAACAAAAACTCTTGAGCATTGGTCAATTCTATCCACGAAAGTGGTTGTGCTCAGATGAAAACAGTGAAATCGTAAACTAATTACTGCAATGAAATAAGATGTTATTTCGTACTGCTTTGTACTATTTTCTATTATACACAGACTTCATATTTATCAACCTTGATGTTCCAACAAGGAAACAAATTAACATCAGGTATGAAAAGCATTCCGCAATAAAGAAAGCTTTCTATCCTTCAGAAAAGTGTGCGACAATGAAACCTGGTAAGTCTTTGATTTTATACAAATGTCAGATGAACATTCTAAGCAAAAGGTTTTTAAATAGAATTTGTTCCATTTGTATGTCATATTTTCAAATGCAACACAGTTACGCAGCAGCCATCAGAACGAGTTAAATTGAATACTCAATCATATAAAGTCTGGAAATTTTAGAGTCTTCCAAACCTACTATGTATTTCTTGTGTTCGAGCCCGAATGCGGAGAAACAATTACTGATTACCCTCTCTCATGTCAACCGAGTTCACGCTGTTTTTTTTATTTATATTGTTTCATCTCTGTTGCTATTCTTAAATATTTTTAAATAGATCTCACTTCCCTATGATAAAAATTATGGTATTTACGATGGTGACAGATGGGCACAAACATGCCTGGCTCCATTACGTTGATTTTATCTTATTAAATTTATACTTTGAAAAATGTATTTTCATGCAAATATTAAAATAGGTAATTTATTCAGCCTATGACCATAAATTCTCACCGAAAGTCAATTATATTGAGGCCTTCTTCGTCATTATACTGAATCTGAATGATAAGCATAAATAATTATAAGATACAATTGATAAATAAAATAAAATAGAATAGAATGTTCATTTGTTTTTGCTTGTCAGACAAGAATTTGTACTTCAGTAATCATCTCGATCAAATTTTGCCAATGGAATTTGTTGTTCGTCATCCATTTTCGTCGCTGCATCATCATCTGTCGATCCTTTACGATTATTAATTCCAGCAACTTTGCGAAACGTTGACCACATAAAATCCATGATTTCATTTCTATGTTGACTGGCTGCTAATTCTCGTTTCACATGTGCAAACGAATCATTCAAACTAAAACATACATTCGACACGATAATCGTTCAATGTAAATATTTTGTCCTACTTACATTGTTAAAAAGATACTTAATAGAGCAATAAATACAAGCATGACAAATGAAAGAAAATAGAAGATACCTGGGAAAAAAATCAGAAGTTTCCGATGGATTTTTATATGAAAAATGAACATACCATAAGCTCGACTAACAGCGAACATGTCCGGTGCGTTTATTTCACCCAAAAGCATTCGGAAACATGTTGTTAATGACGTTGCAAATGAGTTAAAGTTGGAAAGCGTGCGACCAAATACAGCGAAACCCATCAGTGCATATGCAACAATAAAGATAAGAAAAACAAAGCCAAATGAACTTAAATCTGTTCGAGCATAACGAAGTGACTTCGACAGCATGTCAACACGCTTATTGAATCGAAGTAATTTCAAGAATTTCAGCATTGTAAAGAATGTTATCAATGCAACGATATAGGAATAAACTTCGTCGAAACTGGCAATCGCATTGAAATTAACGAATTCGCCTGAAGAAGATATTAAAACAGATCAAATGTCATTATCTTCCTTCCAACTTACCCATTTCAGTCTTTTTCAATGAACGGATGGCTAATCGTGTTAAAGTTTTCTTTGTTCCATACATAAGAAGCGTTGTGATACTGAACACGACGGTTATGAATGAAATAACATTCCAGAACTTGTAGAAATATTCTCTTTTCTGCTTGACCAATAATAACACTTCGTGAATTGTTGAATATATCGTGAAAACAACAAACAATAGTTCAAATATGTACACTAACATGCCGTAACCACCGATATGATCGTAAAGACGAAAGATTTTGATTTGATAATCTTGAATAACTGAACCCATCGATGTCATTTCAAATGAAAGTGTAACAGAAACGAATAAATTCACATTGGCATTATACAATGAAAAATCAATAAAAATTGCACGCGTTAATTGATCAAGCCAATTTTGTGAACGAAGTTCTGCAAGAACTGTTCGACTTTTCTCATATGTTCGACCTAATGAAACAACATAACCGCCGCCTTTATAGGTTTTATAAAGCGCTTTCATAGGTCCACTTTTTGTACGAACGCTACTCTAGAAGATTACAAATGAACAAATCTGAAACCTATAAAAAGAAAAAGATTTGCAATTTACTTGATAACACCATGGTGTTCGACAACGTTTTGTTCCGTTATTATTTTCATCGCTCATTTTCGCTTCTTCCCGAGTCAAAACTTTCTCCCAACGTGGTGAATAGTCTTTTATATCATCATCAAACCAATTATAATCGTCTCGACACTGTGTAACAAGATGCTTGACACGACGATGTACTCGGCAACTATTTTCTTTAACGCGCAGTTGTCGAATTCGTGGTGCACCAACACGCATTGAAATACGGCTACCAGTTGTTAATTTTTCTCTCCAAGTTAAATTTTTTTCATTGTACCATTTTTGTGCATAGAGTCCTTTTAGTAGAACATTATCACAATAATTCCACCAGTTTGTTATTGATCCTATTTCATGGAAATCTTTGTTGATAAAAAGATTTTTCGTATCGCGATATAAACCATAAGAATTCGTATCTCGTGATTGATATGAGAGAAATAGTAAGACCACTGTGAAGAATATATAAATAACGATTTCACGGATAACGTCACCCATTTTGATCTCGCGTAAACGCTGTTCACGTGCACGAACCATCTCATCTGAGTTTATCGGACGTAAATTAAACAAACGAACACGACGTTGACGTGCAATTTCTAAAAGAAAATCTCACTCTCTCGTTTTTCATTTGCAATTTCATATTAAATAACATTTACCTTTCACATTTGCATCACTGTATACATCTTTTCCATCAATATTCGCAATATTCTTGTTCGAAATTAAAGCTCCGGTAAACGGATCATTGAAATCCAAAGTTTCATCATCGTATGGTCGACGAATTAGAAAACTTATAATTGCCGTTATGAGAAATACTTTCAAGGGATCGATAACGAGTATCGACTGACCGAATGAAAGTACCATTGTAATTAACCATTCATTGGCACGTTTAGCTCCCCATTCCAATGAATAAAGTATGATAAAGAACGAACATGTTAGTATACTTAGCATAACCACTAGTGAAAGAGAATATTTAGATCAAGATTAAGATCGTTCAAGATAAACTCACATGCCCAAGCGATGTAGATAGTCCAATGTGGGAATGATCTGGTTTTATCTTCAATTGATGGAATAGCGCCAATGCGTTCAATGCCTTGTTCGTCACCATCTTCCGATAGTATCAATTGATGTTTTCGTCGAGAAAAGAAACTAAACAACAAGTTGATTGCATTCTTCTTCTTCTTCTTCTCGAAGAAAAGCCCAAAACATACTTCATTGTTCTTCGATATTGTTCATCATTTTTACGTGCTTTACTTCGTCGTTGTCGTTCTTGTAAATGATACGTTACCAATGTTTTTTGACTGTATTTTGCTTTACGAAACAATGTGACAATCAACAGATTGACTGGTAGTACAACCAAGGTACTAATGAAACTGATCCATAGCTGTGTCAAAGTAAATTCAATTGGTCCGATTTTCATTAAAACTCCAGCTTTATTTGCTCGTCCTTGCGTATCTTGTCGATAGAACATGGCATTGGATATCATCGTGCAGAAAAGTAACGATATACAACAGGAGATGCGTTGTAATCGAGTGAAATTACTTCGTACAGGACGTGAAAATACTGAATACCATAGATGACCATCGCTGAATTTCTTCTTGACTGATTGAGTAAATAAATGTGCAAAACTTTTCAATTCTTTCGATGAAGCCAACGGTACAACACGATCAACAAGACCATCACCTTTTTCAACCGCAAGCCAATTATCACAAATGAAATAATTCCTATTGAAAATTATCACAAAAATATTCATAGAAATACTTTCAGGCAAAACATTACTTTTCGCCTGTTTGTAAATCCATCACATTGATCATGTTTAAGAACCAAGAAGCTTTGCCTTTATCACCTGAATTATCATGCCAGATACGAAGGTAAAGTAATGGGCCAAGTTGTGATTCCACGCTCATTACAAAATTTCGAACACTACCCGATGCAAATTCCTGAAAACGAAACGTTACAATCTGCTTTTATCTCATCTAAATTAAAAAGACAAGAATTACATGAATCTTCCCATCAGCTAACTTTCGAACGCCACTATCTGCTAATTCACCAGATATAACAAAGTTCACATTGGATGTTGTACCCGATTCTTTACCGATGCCAGTATGAACTGTAACTAGATAATGATAAGTATCAATAGGAAGATTATCGATAAGTGGTGCTGCTGTCCACTGAAAAATATGCAATACCAAACTGATTTCTATTCGTTGATTTCAAAATCTATTACTTTCACTAAATCATGTTTATCTTTTCTTCTCGACCAAATTGCTGCGATGATATATATAATAAAAATAACAATCACTGTACTGAACACAGCGGCATTTTCATGTAATTTTTTGAATTTCGTAAACACTGTTTTGAAGTCAATTGTATTCGGTGGAACATAGAAATCACTTCCGAACGTGGTCAAATGAGTACAAAGACATTCCGTTGATTTCAACGTTGTCAGTGATCCAACCTATGCAAATCGAATCTCGATATATCGGTATAATAAAATCGATAAAAACAATTTTACTTCGCATCCATCCGAGCTCCAGACATATTTTTTCTCGTCCCAATATTGACACTTCGAAACGTACATATTGATTGTGTAACTCGAATGATATTCAGTCAAATTCCTTGTTGTACTTGCATCTAAAGTTCATTCAATCGATGTTCGAAAACTAATTCTCACTTTAACAAAATGACTTACTGATTAGTTTTATACCGAAAATGTATGTTCCATTGCCGAAATGAATATTCGGTGACATTAAAATCGTATGTCGTAATTCTTCTAGATCATCAGCAATGTTCTCATCCGATGTGACTGCTGTTCGATTCGGTAAAACAAAGAGTAGATCGAATTTGGATTCTGTCGGGGGTTCTAATAATGTTTCATTGGTTCCGAACGATACGTAAATACCATATGTATCCATTGGTGAGACATTCGAAGCAACATATAGAGATAACGTCATTTGCTTGTCTGGTAAATTCATTTTGTGGTATCGAAATAATGTTCCGTTTAAGTCATAATGTTCATATTTCGGTCGTTTATCAACTGGCCGAGTTAGACGAATGGAGATCGGCTTAGTTGTGTTTTGTACAGCCATTTCCGAGCCATCTGGTCGTGATAAGATGATCGTGACAACACTTCCTTCGACACTCGAATGCCCATGTGTACTTGCATAGGGGTTTTCTTTTGATTCAAGAATCTTTGTGAAAACTTCCGATGCACCGGGTTCTGAATTAAGATCTGACAGGCCCGGTAAACGAATACGCGAACCACCAGTTGACAAACTTGATTTACCTAGAAAACGAAACCATGGGAATTGTCAATGATGAGAGAGCATTGGATTTTTACCATCGGGGTTCGCTTTTGTCAAAGTCATCGCCATTGTTTTACTTTTGATAGTTTTCGTTTCATTCGTCGATGAACGATTGGCTAGGACGTCACCAACCGAGAATAAACCACCTGAGCTTCGCTTAGCAATGCTTGAAGCCTAGAAAATTCTAATTGAAACGATGAGAATGTCAGCGATAAATCAATACCCGTTCACGTCCTTCAATAATTGCTTTCTTGTCTTCATCCAATTTCTTTCGATACTCTTCCCAACGTTCTTCAGGTAATGTATCACATTCATCACAAGCATCGTAGAATTGCGTTGGAGCATAGAGAACTGTCGCATCTGTTTCCTCATCTTCTGTTGCTTTCATATCCGATTCCAAATTCTAAACCATTTTTCAATGCTTACGTCATCGATCGATTGAATTCTTTTCACTTACTTCGATAATTGCATCCGGATAATTCTCTTTATCTCTCGACACAGTTCTTGATGCAGCTTGTAAAACATTACTACCCACATCCAATAACGCTAAAAGAGAAAACATCTTTTTTTTTCGAGAAGAAAGTTCTCATAATGAATTACGAACATGAAGCAAGACCAGTGACGGTATTTTCATCAGCTGATTCCATTTCTTTTACTTTAGTACCAACTTTCTCTATAATATTCGCTCCTTTTTCCTATAACAATCAATCCAAAGTTCGTGAACAAATTCGAAGAAAATGATCATGCACAAACCTGATTATTCAACGGCATTTGATCACTATTAGCTGTAACCGTCGCACTCGCTTTCAACGCTCGTCCAACGATACTCGGATCACTTGCTGAATCAATGACTGTATCCATCGACGTTAACATTTTCGCTCGCATCTACAAAATCTCTACATTCATCTTTCGAAACATGTCATCAAGATCACATACAGCTGCCATCCGTTCATTCATTGCCTTTACATCTGCTTCACTTGTTTCTCCCGTAGTCTACACGAACAAACAAGTCAATTTTTTCAAAATCAAAAAAATCTCTTCACTCACCGAATTGTCGCTCATTTCGTTCAATTTATCCGCTAGACCAGTAATAAATTCCACTGCTTTCTTTGGATTTGTTGCAGCTAGATCATCTAGATTTCCCATCACTTCTTCTAATGTACTCAAATCAGCTGTGTCGAAAGTCAGTGTTAACTGTTGATCGACTTCCAAACGCGCGATTAATTGTCTTCCATCCATTAGATGTCGAACAATGAGCAGAAAATGAAGTGAACCATTGCTAAATACTAGATTACTGTCATCAATACGTAAGGCTTTTGTTTGTTGATCGATCTGAATTTGTTCGGTGGTCTTCTTTTCCACTGAAAGGCATTGGTGTTCATAAAAATGTAAATTAATATCTGCTCGACGAAAGACTAAATTCAAAGTCGCCCATTTAATTGACCAAGGCTGATGGTTCTGAGGATTTGTTTCTGTTGGTCGTGATGATCCCAATTCAATTGTATCCGGTTGAAAAATATTCGATTGCAAATATTCAGGATAACAGATTAAAGTAAAGTTAAGTTTTCGTCGATCGAATTCACTATAATCAGGATCGATCGTTGTCGAATAAAAGTCTAAGTTTAACTCATTCACGTCATTTGTAATTGTAAAATTTCCACCGAATGTTGTCAGTAAATCCGAACGAATGATTTCAATCGGTTGAATAAATTGACGAAAATCAGGTAAATTGGAACTTTTCGTTATTGTAAATACTGCTACATAATAACCATGCTGAAGCGCTTTTGGTTCAATTTTCAATGTCGAATTTTCACCGAATTTCGAACAGTAATTTTCGAGAAATGTGTCTTGAAATGATGGATTAGTAGATGTAGAATACCGTTGTGTTCGAGAATATCGCCAATGGAATGGATCGATGGCAAGAACATAAAATGAATATAGAAGATCATGATCAGAACATTGTGTTGTTAAACGTGGTTCGAGTTTATGTTCAAGACTGTAGGGTAGAAAGAGAACAGATGAAGAAATTGTGACATTGTTCAGTGAGTTTGGTGAAAATAAATGAAATTCTTTTTCTTGAAAACAAGTTTCCTCTGTTCGATCTAATCCTCTGACGATTGTTACAGTTGAACATCTCAGATCAACCGGAAGACGTTTCGACGATGGTTGAACAAATGTCACATCAATTCGAAATGTGCCTGGCTTTGTAAATCTAAAATAACCATTAGAAAATCAGTCTAAATTTATCTAAAGAAAAAAAGAAGGAATTTTCATACTTATAGCCAACTTGTAATCGTTGTTGTGCAACTCTCTTCCATTGTATTTCATGAATTCCATCGTTTCGTTTTACTGTACGATTTGATGAACCCGACGTGAATTGTCCATACCGAACACGAAAATGCTTTTCTTGGTCATAGTTGATTTCAACGTCGAAACCAATTCCATCAATCCATTGAATATCGACCCAAATGAACTCTTGATTAACATGACCAATTTGATTGACAATATAAACTTGCGGTTTGATTGTGATATCCGTTCCGATAATAAACGTTGCTTGTGATTCACGAATTGTTGGATAATCTCCGCCTTGAATGTGCAGAACTTGTTTACCATAAGATGTAATATTCATATATAAATTTTCAGTGAAATTATTCGATCTTAACAATTGAACATGTTCGGTTCTTGTATAGTTATTTTCAAGATACGGATCCAGGATTGTAAGTAGAAAATTTCCTTCGAATGGGCTTTGCTCTTTTGCACGTATGGTAACCAATGTGAGTTGGTTGATATCCACTTGACTTTCGATTTCCACTTTAATGGGTGATAGTGGTGGTTCAACAAAGATCACTGCCGATTGTTTGTCTTCATTGATACGGTTCATGGCACTAATCGTCGGATTGTACTGACCGGTTGTTGAATAAGTACAATTACCGATTGGTATTGGTGAAAGATCGATAACTTTTTCGATATAAATGATTTCTAATGGTGTGTCACTGATGCCGCAGTCGAAAATGATTGTCACATCGATTGTTGGTTCAAGTGTGATGAAAAATTCGGTAGACTGACCACTTCGAATAGTTGTTTTCGATGCCTCGACTTCTAGTGAGCGAATTGCTGGTTGGACATTAAGAATATATGGTTGTAATGCCATGGAATCACATTGAAGTTGATACAAATGTGTACCAAGTGGCAATGCCTATAGAGAAAAGCAACAAACATGAATGAATACGAATGATTTTCTTGGAAATTTTATTTACTTCATTTGGTATGACTTCCAGCGTTTTCTTTCTCCAAATCAACTTCATTGTTTCATTGGTAAGAACATTTTTCAGATGCAAACAATCGGAATGTCGAAATGAATAATCATTGTGCGTTATAATATTGAATCTTGTTGCTTCGGATGTTTCCATCACATTTGTATGAATAATCATTTTCTTGTTCATATTTGCTCGTCGAACAATACGCGTTATTTGCGTTGTATTTATACTCCGTTCATTATAACATTGTACAGAAACATTGTACTCACCATAACGTGTATAATTTCGCGCAAAATAGGCGGTATAGTATTGATCACGGCTGGTACCATTTGTCTGCCGATGTCCATCGCCATAATCTAATGTACAATTGATTGGAACACTACCTAGAAAAAGACGAATCATCGAATAACAGTGAATGAAAGTCATTTCTCTCTTCTACCGTAAGTTTGAACAGTAAAATTTTGATAACTTTGATAGTTCGGACTGCCGGGTGAAATGTCAATGAACTTCAGTGGCAGATCAGTTTTGACATAGACAACGTCGACATAGACCGTTCGGTATTCTGCCGTTTCTTTATGAACCATTCGACGATAGTCAGCACGAAATTGAACTTTTTTTGCACCTTCATTCTTCCAAGACAGATTTACCTTGAAAGAAAAATGATTGATCACTTAACGAAAGGAAAAACAAATCGATACTTACAACACCGGCAGTTATGTAAATCTCGTTGGAGCTCGTACCTTCACTTGCTGGCTCTTGACCTTCGATATCACCATAGACAGTCAACGACGCCAGATTTCGATCGTTTTTAACCGAGACAATAATTTCCACACCTTCATTTCGTTGGACTCGCGTTCGACTGTGCGTCAAGAAACTTGCATCAGCCATACGAATTTCCAAACCTGTCAAAGTATCTCATGAGTATTCATAAAGTAGTTCATTTTCGATACCTACCAACTTCCGCATCAACCAGATCAATAATGTGTGATACCGTAAAAATGTGCCATTCATTCGCACTTGAACATGGCGGATTAAATGAACAAACGCAATTCTTATCATATTGAAATGACAAGTCTAACTCATATGAACTTGGTACACATCCACATCGACCATTGCTCGCTGAATACAAAGCAATCTAATCAACATAAGCATAGATTAGAAGGCAAATGTAAAAAGCAAAAGATGAATTTCAATCTAACCTTCATTTTTCGTGCCTGACAATCATCACGGCATAGTCGCCAATAATCGTACGTTTGCGGAGTGATATATTGATGAATATGATCGTTTTCATTCACACATCCTAAAGATACATCACCCGGTGTAACTAAACGAAAAAGAAAAGCGTTTCGTAGGAGGTAAATACTAAGCAAATTATTTACTGTTTGCAATTTCAACGTCGAGTAAAACTCGTTCGTAATAGATAATTTCTTTGAAAGAAGCAACTTCAGTATCATTTCCATAAATAATCGCCGAGTGTGCATGTATTTTATCGTATTTAAAAACGAATAATTCTGTGTATTTTTCCAATTCTGTCTTTCTGTACAAATAACCATCGACATAGATCGACAGTTGATGATGTTCAGTCGAGTTTTTGCTTGTCAATTGAATAACAGTGACTACATCAACCCATCGATTCAGTTCGAAGTCAGCTTCGACTTGCCAATAGAAAGCGACATGATCATTGTGAAACTCTTTCAAACCAAACTCGAGATACGAAGTGTTTTTCGACTGATAGAGATGAATTAACATTCCATCACTATATGGTTCATGTGCACCAGTACTGAAGAGCAGATATTTACGTTCTCGGTCGAAACTATTCAATGAGTTTAGACGTATTTTAAAGCGAAGTGACCAACCATGCGTTGAACATGTTGATAGCTGTTGAAAACACTTGAATTCATAATTCGAAACACGGTAATTACCATCGGCATCAGGAAATACTTTTGATCGATCCAAAACAACGTGTCCATCTTCGATATGATAGAAAATTTTCGAAATATTCAGCATGAAAAGATCTTTCACTTACCGTCGTATTGAGCGAAGATAATCGTACTGATAGGAAAGAAGATTATACTTAGAACTAGAGGAGTTCTCATGATGTGAAAACGAGGAGTTCTAGTTGCAATCAAATATCGTCTGTTTACAATTGAAGTTTTTGTGCGAATGAATCGAATTAGAAGTACAAATCTTTTTCATCGTGGTGTTCGAAACTCTTGGGATATGATAGAGCCAATTTTTAATCATATCAACGTGCAATATGAAAAATAAAACTGGTCTTTGGAGAAATATTACTGACGTATACGGCTTTCGTATAATATCAATAATTTATTATGTAAGAAAAAAGAAATATTGATTTTTTTTCATTAATGTGTTTGGGGAAATTGTTTTGCTGAAAAATAAATATGTTCTATTTATGAATTATGGATGAGTACCGAGAAACAGTAGACCCTCTACAGACGATAATGACGTACATTCGTAGTGATTTCCCATTTGTGTATTTACAACAACACTTGAAGATTTACAGTGATATAATTTCTATTTATATGGCTTCTAGAAGGAAGGACTGGAAGTTCTTCAAGAAACTTCACGAAATAACGTGTAAGATTTGTATACGAAATCATTTTTAGTCGATAAAAAGATTTCGTTCTGCCAATATGTGATAAATAATCAAATCCAATTAAGATATGCCATTGAAATTATCGGATAACTCAAACACACTTACTCGATCTAGAATATATGTTCCTTTGAATAATTTATTTATTTTAAATCACTTATCTGCTTCATTTTGTTGCGCTTTCATAAAAAATACAGACTGAATTCACACTTATATGATTTCTTTGTAATCCATTGGAAATTTTCAACAGATATTTTTGCTTTAACATTAATATTCGTGCATATATTTCGATGATTTTGCCAATACTCTCATTGTCGTATTAGATCTCACATCACAAAATGCTTCATGAATTAATAAACGAATCGTTTGATGTCATTGTCATAATCATGCCATTGATTCTTATATAAAGTTGAAGAACAACATTACTGTGAGCAAAGAATGATTCAGTTCGTTGTCATTTAACCAACTATTGCAATGAATCAATTCCCTACTCACACTTCCATCGTTCAATATCTTATGTATGAGTAAATGTATAAGTCGCGTAAATCTTCATTCGAATATAACATTTAAACAAACGATACGCAGTAGGATTCAAAATACTTCGCGAAATTTTTGTTTACATGTTATATTTGGCGTTTATTGAAATGCTTCTTCATGTAGATCATTGTAACAAGAATGGTAATAGAATAGCTTGTCGTATAATTGTATTCGTTTGAGTTCTGTCACTCGATTCAAAAGTATGAATCCAATATGGATCAATAAATGACACATTTGATGGGTATGGCATAGAGGCAGTATGATTTAGCCACATTTTGTATTGATCAAAACTTGAAATATGTTGTTATTTTGAGCAGCTAAATGAGACATGACTGTTGATTAAACACTACCATACTGTATGTGGTTATTCCCTTGAAACAATTGGTAGATGAGTAATTGAGAAGAAAGTTCAACAGAAAGGAAGATTTAAACAAGATGATCGCGCATGATGTGTATTCAACTATTCTAACGCGTAGAATATCACAACTATTGAATACAAAACAATGCAGATTGTTTGATCACTGGTAAACAGCTCACATGATATTTAAATTCAAATATCCTACCGTGAAAGTTATATAGTAGAGTATATATAAATGAATGATTATAGTTATATTCAGATACGTTCGATGATAATATACGTATATTGAAAACAAAGAAGTTACAGATATCAGTGTGTTTAAAATGTGATTGTGACGAATTATGAGAGTGAATGTCTATGACTTGCGACATGATGGTGTGTTGTGACATCTACACACTCATAATCGTGTCGTTTCTTTATTGAACACAACTTATATAGGAAATATCGCGCATAGCATAACAAAGAGAGGGCAAGGTCAATATCTATGAACAGGTCGCATAGGTGAACTATAGATATACCCTGACCGTTACAGTGATGACTTTCAAAATTTACAAAACCAAAATTATTTATATTAGGAAACATAGTTGGTTAGTCCAGCGATCGAAAATATCAGATATTTATCGTTATCACTATTTCGACAACGATTGAATGTAAGGTCATTAACAATTAATCAAAAATATATTATTGTCATTTCGATATGATCGTGATTTATGCGAAATATTCTGAAAAAAGCTATTCCTAGGACGAACGTTCCGGCCTCCGGATCCACCAGGAAAGCACCCCTTTTCCGGCTCATTCCGACCCGTTCTGGCCATATCCGACAGATTCCTCACGGAAAACCGTAGGAATGTTGAAGCAGTGTTCCAGACCGGAATACCCCGGAAACGGATCCTCGATGTTCCCACTCATTCCATTACCCGGTTTCCTACAATATCCGCACGGAAAACAGCCAGGCCGCCTACATCCGATAAGACAGACCACCCAATAAAACAACCGGATCCCGCCATAAGCCTACGGAAACCAAAAAAATGCAAACCTGCAAAAAGTTGCCCGCATATTTCCAACAAAAAACGCAATATTCCCGCAGCAGTACACGTATACGGCCGTTTCCGAAAACCAAACTCCGCCAATAACCAACGGGAACCCATCTAAACCCAGGAAACGTAAACCACCGGGAGAACACATAAACGCCCAATTCCCACCATTTCCATCGTTCTTTCACCAGCAATATCCAATTTCTGCCATAAAAATCACATAAAAAACACCATCCTACGCCACAGTCTTACCAAACAACTCATCCCAAATACCAAAGGCAACACAGAACTCCACGCACAAGCCACTTATAAATGCAGAAAGCAAACTTCGCGATTACAATCCACGTTTCAGCTTAAAACAAAACAAGCATAATCAACACACATAAGCTATCTTATAGCATTCCCAAAGCGATCACAATCATCATTCCAATTCAAAGCATATAAATCATAAATCATTCGGATGGATTGTAAATCCGATTACAATCCTGCAATCCGCTGTGTAATTCTGCAATCTGCTGTGCAATCCGCTGTGCAATCCATTGTGGAATCTTGCAATCCTCCGTGTAATCCACTTGTATGCGTGGGATTGGAGTGTAGTTCGATGAACAGGAGCGTTTGTGTTTCAGCTATTGGGGCTGGGATTGTTTGAAATGCAGTGAAGGCTGTTTGGAGTTGCTCTGGTTGGCCTTAGGAGAATGGGTATGGACAGCATTGTGTTATGGGTTTTCGGTAGTATGGGAAGATGCGTTTTATTGGTTTTCGATAGGTGTGTTGTAGGATTTCGTCGGATTGGTTCGGTTTTCGTAGGTTCCGAGAGATCACGGTTCGTTGGGATTTTTCGGAAGTTGTTGATGGGATTCCTGACTTTTCCGTTTGGGTAGTGCTGGAACCGGACGGATTTTAACCGGTTGAATCCGATCTGGAATCTTGCTTCCATGAAATGTTCGGAAAAAACCGGCACCGGTCGGTTCCGGACCGGGTTTTTCGACATGGGTAATACTATCCTTTCAGTAGAGGGTTTAGCGGCTACTAGGCCGCGTTACTTGTTGATAACGACGAGAGAAGGAAACAAGAAAACGACTTATGTCGATCACAGTTCAAAGACAACTGCCTCTGCCAGATCTTACAAGTTCAAAGAGCGGTCAGACAGGCAGCATAGAGAGAAACCAGAGAGAAAGAGATCTATATATCATGGCATCGAACCGCACATAGGACATATAGATCTGAACAAGAAGAAAGAAAGAAAGTTGACGATAACAATGTACTATCTGTTATCGCTAACACTAGGGCATGCTAGAAGGCATAAGCACGTCTAGTAAACTACGGCTTCAGAATATCTCGCTCAGGCCACTTTTGATGGAAACCCCGAAATATCTTCCAAATCCATCTCAGAATCAATCGGTTTTACAAAGTTCAGAATATTCTGTTGCACATTTTCATGAGGATTCAGAATATTACATTGATATTTAGGTTTGACCCAGTTCCCATAGAGAAAAATCAAGTTTCTGTGAAAGTGACCGTAAAACGTTGGTAGTATTTTTACTATCTACCATGGAGGATAAAAATAAAACTTCAGCTATATACTACCAGAATGATCAGCATCAAGAACTTGAGCAACGCTGAAGGTCTTATCAGAATCGGAGTATGTCATCGGATAGGCTGACGATTTTTCTGCAATACAGCGATATACTAATTTTATCGCATTTCTGAGATTTTCAAAATTCCGACTCCGACAACCGTATCCTATCCGAATATCTTGGTAATCCGACAGTCAGATTCCAATGCAATTCCGTCACCAGGAATCCAATCGGATTGGTTGGCCTGGGTATAACATTCACCTTGTATTAGATGATTCGTGTGTTCCCAACTGAAAGGCGCTTCATCAGTTGTTTCCATTAAAGGACTCAGTGCCATCATCCACACTTTCATCGAATGAACCTTATCATCTGCTACTTCGATAGAAGACTGGGCAAGGATCTTAAAACAATCATGAAAGTCCACTCATCATCTCCGGCCAATCCAAATTCAATGAAATAATCTTGGGATTGGTATGCGCTTAGTCTACCCTTCACATTTTCATTAAAAATTGCATTGATTCTAGCAAAGGTTTGCTCTGTCTCTTGGTAGGTGCGCAAAAAAGAGATGACACAATTGTGGATGAAAAAAGCCATGCAACGCCATGTTAACATCAGTCGGTGTGTATTGTCAGAAAACAATATTTTCTTAAAACAAATCATCAGAACGATCTTACGCTTCTGTCCCCAATCATAATAGTGCAAAATATATCTGCAGCCCACGCTATCCACAGTGTGGAAAGCCTTGAAATGTTAAATTCTTTTCTGGAATATAAGTTATCTATAGCTATCTTTTGACGACAAAAAACAACTTTTTATTTCATTTGTTGTTTCATGAAACATACACCATCTGACTGAAAGAAGAAACGACGATTCAGAAATGATCTTGACATGAACACTCTCCATTGGAAAAATGATGAATTCGATTTGCATCTCGGATGATGATTTCACACCGACGCAGTTTCGTTATGAGTTTCGTAGCAGCATCTAAGAAAAGCACAACTATGACTGAATTTCAGTGCCAATATCGTTCACTTACGACAATCACCACAAATACGAAGATTTTTACTGATTTGTATGATGGAAGGAGGTGGTTGTTGAATGAAGTTGAATGCGATCGCCAACTTTTCACTATGACCACACAACACACTTTCCACTGTTTCATCCTCTTTCACTGGACGAGTGATCCAACTGCTGTCGAATGTGTGACCATGTTCACGGAGCTCACACGATAAACGTTGCAGTTCTTCATAGATCTCCTCTGACTGAGGATGAGAATGATCATGAGCTTTGAATCGCTAAAAAGAAGAATAACGCAACGAAGATCAACTTCAGCTCTCAGCTCCGTAACGTTTTCAAACAAATCCTACCACCAGTTGGTTGTTCACCGAAGTCCAAGATAAGCCAACTTTCACATTGTATCCAAACTGTTTGATTCTATTGGTTCGGATATCTCCCGCACGATGATGATCACCAATGGACGAATAAATATTTGACAAGAGAACGGAACCAGCTATGAGTGTGTTTTTCTCATCAGGGAACAATTGTTGCATTTTCTTGTAGATTCGATTAGACAGATTCGAGTCACGAACATTGCGTGCTCCAGACAACAATGTCGCTAAAATGAAACGTGAATGAAGAGATTGATCAAGAGTTTTCTCTACATTGGTAATGCTCACTGTACATAGCGGAGGAAGGTGGATTTGTCTTTTCATAATCTTCGATGATTGATTCTGCTTCATCAAACATTGCCAAACGACTCAAACAATCAACCTAACACATCAACATATATGGTCTCATTGAGATGAGGTCGAACAAAGAAACAAACCATTGTGGTCACAATCTTCTCTGTTTTCTTATGTATCTGGTCGAATATATGACGACATTCGTTCAGCAAACCTGTATGGGAGCAGGCATTCAACGCACATACGTGTACTACTTCGTTACACAAATCAGAAGAAATTCTTCTATACAGTTCCACAGCCTCAACACCCATCCCATTCAATCCGTATGCATTTACTAAAGAATCAAATATACAATTATTCGTTCATAAAACATATATGTTCAGCTAAACATACTCATTGAACTATATGTCACCATATCTGGATCATCCAGTGATTCAAATATTTCCTTACTTTTTTCTATCGAACTACTTTTGCCCTAAACAAAATCAAAACAAACATACTTTCATTAGTTGTCACTAGAACGATGTTTTCTACTCGATCAACAACACTTACCCACATCGAAATCAGTGCATTTTGAATATTTCGACTACTTTTCATATGACTAGGTAACTGATCAACAATTGACTGAGATACTGAGCGTATGGCAATTTTTGCACAAACACCGATCATTGAAAGACACACAACTTCATTTGGAAGAATTTGATCACTTTTCATTTGATCAAACAGCTGAAAACACTTGTCCAACTCGTCTAGTTGACTGTATCCATTGATCATTGCATGATAAGTGAGAGCACTTTTTGATTTGACTTGACGAAACAAGCGTTCAGCATCATTGACCAGATCGAATTTCATCAACATGCGAATGGCTGATGTGATAATGATATCATCGTTATAATAGGACTTGTTCATCTTGCGCAGAAGTTCTTTTCCTGTTTGTAATGCTCGATCATTAAACAGATGTGTACATGTGTTGAAGATGATAGTTAGTATGTTTCCATTAGGAGCCAGATCTATTTGATAAAATAAATCCAGTGCTTTTTCAAACATCTGGTTGTGATTGTAACCTAACCAAATTCAATCGAATACTTCTGGTTAAGTGAAGCGGATGGCTCACCTTTCATCATGGCACCATAAGTGTAGATAGTTTTGTGTTTCATCTGGCGAAAGAGTTGCTCAGCTTCAACGACGTTTCCAAATTTCATCAACATAAAGATCGTCGAGTTCATCACTTTTCCAGAACCTTTCAAATCTTCAAGTAAATTAACGATTAACTGTTTTCCAATTCTTCTCGCACGATCATCACATATTTCAGAACATGCCTTTGATACCATCACAAATACACCTTCGTCCAACTTCAATTTGTTCTGTTCGTACAAGTTCAACACTTCTTTCGACTTTTTCATCGATATCAGCCCTAAACATCAGAACAGATTTATTTTTCAATCAGTTAAATAAAAATCTACCTTTGAACAAAGTTGTATAAAGTGGATTCGTCTTCACCGGAATTGAGTTGAACAAACCGATTGCACTCTTCAAGTCGCCGGATTTCACTTCAAATAGAAACAACTTCTTATTGTCATTGTCGTTCGGCCATATGAGAGTGTCACACAAACGATAACCTTTGAGAATGTTCTCTTCGAAAAGTATGGGAAATGGATCATGAAACAGTCACAAGAGATGAGAAAATTGTTTCATTCTGATCTTTGCCACGAGTCAGCACGTCTCTCCTTCGCATCCTGTCGTTTGTTTTCACTCACTGTAGAAATGAACAAGTGATGTTTGAATGAAAGGATTGTTGAGAGATTTGGGAGAGAGTTGTCGAACGATTCCAAGTCCACGTCGATAGTCTGGCAAATTACTGCACGCTTTGAGTGCCATGTTCAGAGCGAAATCATCAGCAGCGTGTGACTGCTTATCAAAAATGTCGAGAGCATGTCGAAATTGTTTGGAATCAATGAGTTTCTTCATTTGTGCATTTAACGTAGTTGAGGCATGACGAGCAGTAACGACGGTTGATATTTCATACAAGGGTAGAACGACACACCGAACTGTCAGTGAGCATTTACCACAAAACATCGTGCAAGTTGAATTTAATCTAGAAAAGTGAGAATCAGTAAATGACTTGTGCTGAATTGTTGTCAAAGAAGAAGAGAGTTTGAATGTTGATCAGTGAACGGAGATCATGAATTAGAAGAGCTTTTCTTCTTTTTTCGACTTGATTATTAAGTAATACACCTCTATTTAGATCGTCTTTAGATACGAAACAGTTTGATACACTATCTGATTTGATATTCTGTCTGAGGTGAAATATCATTACATATATCTACAAGAGATATGCGATGAGACTAATTGAAGCTTATCAGAACACCTCAACTGATTTCAGTCCATGTTTTATCTATGTATTTCGTTTGGTTTGTATGTGCAGTGCAGAGAAATGAGTTTCGAAAGATGCCGCTGCTAACTGTATTGGAGCTCACGAATAGTTGATTTCAATTGAACGTCTAGTATACAAATTGAATTGTTCGTCTAGGCTTGACGAGATCTATATCATAACTAATCAAAGAATCTATCCCGGGCAGACGACAAAACGGTAATAACACCGTTTTAACATCTACGCAAATCAACTATTTAAACAGTGTGATTAGTCGCCAAAAAATCGTTTAAACAGTTTTCACATTTGAGTTGCTGAAATGAAAACTATTTTACGTGTCAAATTCGCATTTTGTTTAAACAGTTAGAATCACATTATCAAAACGATATTCACGAGAACTGTTTCAACGATGAGAAAGACAACAATTTGTGTACACTTCTCAGCATCCTTTAAACGTTGCACCACGAACGGAAAATACGTTTGCTGTATGAGTATAATTAATCATTTGACTTCGTACTACTTACAACATTTTTCCATTTCATGTTTTATTTTACAATAAATGCATTTTTTAAATAGCTGTCTTGTTCTTAATTTGTTTTATTGTACCAATATCGTAAAAATTGCTTTATTAGTCTTTTTATCGAACCAGTTTCAATTGATTACGGCATTATTTACATCAATAAGTGCTAATTCGTGCTTTCTCACAGTTGATTATTATAAAAGCAAAAGCGAAGAAAACTGATCTGAACTAATCGAGGTGTCGATGAATTCGTCCAGTACGTCTGTGCGACACGTGTGTGTATATATTCTTTCTGTCGAGTATACTGCATAACCCTATAAGTGGACAAAAAAAACGAATTTGTTCTCGGTGTCGATTGCAACTGAACTCTATGACTTACGAATACAAAAACAGAGGTGTCTATACTTTGTCTAATCGTCCGTCTTGCTTCGATGCCAATCATATAAATAGTTAATCTCTAACATAGTATCTGAAACATATCTTTTTCATCCCACTCCTGACTTGCTCTGCGCATTATTAACGTTTACTCCGATAACTTACAAGCTCGGTTCTGCCCATTCGGTTTTCGCCTTCATAAAAATGCCTTCGACTCGAGCAGCTTTAAAACGTAAATCTTTGAACAATCTAGTAACGCCCGAAAAGAAAAGCCAATCTCGATCCTCGTCAACTAAACGATCAACGGCAATTTCGAAACCAAAGCAAGCTGCACGCTTCCCGAGTGTCAAACATACTAATTACGAGAATACGAATGAAGAAAGCTCTTCGGAAAAAGATTCCTTAGCTCTCGATTGCCAAGATGAGTCCTTACGCGGTAATTGTTTTCGATAATGGGAAAAAACTAGTCTCTCTTCCTTTTGAATTCCTGCACACTTCCAAGATTGATGTTGTTACAAGTCACGATGCGCATGCCCTAATTCGCCCACTTAACTCCTCAGTTATGGCGAAGAACTCAACTACACCTTCAGATCTTCGCACAGAACGCGCATATAAACAGCTTGAAGCTGCAATATCGAGCTATAGTCCTATAATTGCACAAGCGCAACCAACCATTACTTCTGGTGCATTAACTTTCGAAAATAATGATGAAGTAACTTACATCTCTCGCAACTAGCATTACCTCCGATCACACCAGTGCTAACGCGAACGAATACCTCTACTTTTTCGTACGTACTTCATATAAGAATATCCGACTATCTTACAGTGTCATTTTTAGTCGATCGGAGCCGCGACGAAAGCCGTTTTTTTTCGCAATCAACTACGCAACGATGCGTGCAAAAGTAATATTCCTTTATAATTAGACATGTCAGACATTCGAATATTCTAGCTCTGGTAGATCTCCAAATTATCGGTTTACAGCTAAGGGCAATCGAAATCAGTCTACAATACAGCGGTAGTGACTCTCATTTACCCTGATGACTACAGCATCTATCGATTTGTTTTAGAAACAATCGTTACTCGACTAACAGTACTCAAGATGCGTCATCGAAAGCGGTAAAACATTTAACAATTTCCTCAGCTTTTTCGAACTTTTCATTACTCGAAACGATACCGGAATACATCAGTTTGAAAAAAGCTTTGGGCCAAGAAATTGAACGGTGCAAAACGTGGCGTGAAGATTACATCAAGCTTCGAGCTGAATTCGATGAATATCGCGAACGTTCATTTCGTAAGCGTCTTTGTCTCTTTTCCATCTATTATTCGTATACTGTATAGCACGTCCAACTGTTGGTGGTTTGAATTTTCTGCTTGAACTGGTAGAAAACTTAACCAATACAACTAGCCCACGTCGCAAAGGATCTACTTCTGAACTTGCGAAATCGATTGGTTTACCTGAAGATGAGTTGATCGAGTGTCGGCATATTAAACCTCAACGAGCTGCGCTTGCAGTATTTAACAAATTGCATCCTACACATCGTGAACGTGCCAAACTAATCAGTATCAAGAAGTTTGCTCGAGGAAATACTCAATTACTCAACGACATTTTATGTAAGTTAAACTTTTACTTACCTTGAACGGCTTTGAATACGACGAGTTCATAGAGAATTGAAACTAGGAAAGAGGAACGCACTGAAAAAAAAAAGGTAGTCCACCAAGCCATTCCGGTTTAGTGATGGCCCACCAAACTATTTTAAGTTTGGCACCACGAAAATGGTTCCGTAGCGTAAATAAAGAACTCTTTTAAGGTTTTGAGGGCCAAAAAGGTTTCGTGCTGTTATTGNTGTTGGAAGTTGGCGATGATTTCGTGACGCATCATTTTACTGTCGATAAGTATCACATTTGGGGTGTAACAGCTTACGCACTGGTCTTAGTTGCAACACTAGTTCATCAAAGGACACCACAATTTCCTGTTTATCGCTATGAAGAGTATTTCGATTTACAAAAAATAACGAAACAACAGAAAGACTTTTTCCGTTTATGTGTTGATCTCCGATATCGAGACAAAACTAGAGAAAATAATAAAGAAAAAAGTCGTTTATAAAGGAAAGACCTATTTGTGCTCCACGTATTTTTTTATCGTTGTTTTATCAAAAGATGAATATCAAAATTTTAAATAGATAAAGTTTTGCAAAGCGCTAAATATCTATACGTGATTAATAGATTTCTGTTTTATGAGCTTCTATTCCAATATGATTTGCAAAACACGTCCTAGAGTATTAAAAAAATGTCAAAATATTTATTTTCGATTCAATAATGATCAACAGGAAACAAGACTTTTAACATGGGAGTATAACTTCATGTAAATAAAATTCGTGGAAGTACTAAGGGGAAGACTTCAGGTACCTAATCGGCACTCTCTGTACTGGAATGTATTCATCGAAATACACCCAATAGTGTAACCGACCCCTTTTATGCGCCATTTTTCCAAGAATCACTGACAGATTCGGCGATATCAATTCAATCTTGTTCATTTTCTAAATATCTCATATTTATTCGTCTTTTTTTCATTCGCCTAGATTACTAGGTAAACACAATAAGGCATATCATCGTGTTCAGAACACATCAAATCTGCTCGAGACAATATCCAGAGTTCACTTCACTCAGAGTGTGCCATATAAATCAGTCATTGATCCAACGATGTGAAAGTTCTCTTTGCCTCAACAAGAAGCCTCGCCAATTCGTTATCATAGATGCTAGGGGCGATTGCTTTTCGTTGTGGTATTTCAGCAACGATCAACCTTTCATTTCATTTGTTGTTTCATGAAACAAACACCATCTGACTGAGAGAAGAAAGCACGATTCAGAAATGATCTTGACATGAACACTCTCCATTGGAAAAATGATGAATTCGATTTGTATCCCGAATGATGATTTCACACCGACGCAGTTTCGTTATGAGTTTCGTAGCAGCATCTAAGAGAAGCACAACTATGACTGAATTTCAGTGCCAGTATTGTTCACTTACGACAATCACCACAAATGCGAAGATTTTTACTGATTTGTATGATGGAAGGAGGCGGTTGTTGAATGAAGTTGAATGCAATCGCCAACTTTTCGCTATGACCACACAACACACTTTCCACTGTTTCATCCTCGTTCACTGGACGAGTGATCCAACTGCTGTCGAATGTGTGACCATGTTCACGAAGCTCACACGATAAACGTTGCAGTTCTTCATAGATCTCCTCTGATTGAGGATGAGAATGATCATGAGCTTTGAATCGCTGAAAAGAAGAATAACGCAACGAAAATCAACTTCACCTCTCACCTCCGTAACGTTTTCAAACAAATCCTACCACCAGTTGATTGTTCACCGAAGTCCAAGATAAGCCAACTTTCACATTGTATCCAAACTGTTTGATTCTATTGGTTCGGATATCTCCTGCACGATGATGATCACCGATCGACGAATAAATGTTTGACAAGAGAACGGAACCAGCTATGAGTGTGTCTTTCTCATCAGAGAACAATAGTTGCATTTTCTTGTAGATTCGATTAGACAGATTCGAATCACGAACATTGCGCGCTCCAGAGAGCAATGCCACTGAAACGAAATAACAGTGACGAAATAAAAAGAAACCATGCTTCATTCTTATCGATTCCTACTGTACATAGCAGACGAAGGCGGATTTGTCTTTTCATAATCTTCGATGATTAATTCTGCTTCATCAAACATGGTCAAACGACTCAAACAATCAACCTAATGCATCAACATATATGCTCTCATTGAGATGAAGACAGACCAAGAAACAAACCATTGTGGTCACAATCTTCTCTGTTTTGTGATGTGTCTGGTCGAATATATGACGACATTCGTTCAGCAAACCGGTATGGGAGCAGGCATTCAGCGCACATATACGGCATACTTCATCACGCATGTCAACAGGAGTTCTTCTATACAATTCCACAGCCTCGACACCCATCCCGTTCAATCCATATGCATTTACTAAAAAAAATCAAATATACAATTATTCGTTCATAAAACATATATGTTCAGCTAAACATACTCATTGAACTATATGTCACCATATCTGGATCATCCAGTGATTCAAATATTTCCTTACTTTTTTCTATCGAACTACTTTTGCCCTGAACAAAATC